GAAGGGCGAACGGCCTGGCAGTTCCCACGAGGAGCTGGAAGGGCTCTGGGTCACGGGTGTAAAACGTTATGCCTCCTCCGTCCAGATTCATTTAAACCCAAGGACTGACATTAATAAGCCCAGGGCTTCCCTGGCTACTCTCTTCCAAGCAATGCCTTTCTCTACCTCTGGGCAGTTGGCGGAGGCCTGTGGCTCTCTGTGGGCTCTCGCTCATTTTTAGAGCATGCAGGTTCCACGACAGCAGGGGTGGGGTCAGTCTGGTGCCATCCCAAAACAGGTGCTCATCGCTCCTGTAGAAGGACGCCGAGCAGAGCCGAGGCGTGGTCTCGCCGCGGTCAGTGCGGCTCGTGCTCCCTCCTGGCGAAACCCGCCTCCGCTCACAGCCTCAACCGCCGCCTCCTCCCTCGACACCCGTCGCTGTTGGCTTTGGCTGCACTTCGGCTGCGCGTCCAGAGCGCCTGGGACCCGAGGGGGTCAGCGGCCCTGGACTGCAGCCGGCGCACACGACTGCCCGGCTGGCCGGGCGCCCGCTCGCCGTCACTTCCTCACGCATTCCTCACGCATGAAATGCGGGGCCCGAGGTGCCGGCGCCGGCGCCTCCATCGCTCCCTCCCCGTCCCCGACGTGTTGGCGAGTCCGCAGCCCTGCCTCGGCCGGCCGCAGAGCACCTTAACTTACGGAGCGAGTCCCTTGCGCGCCGTTGGACTCCGTTGGGCACCGGGTTCTGACCGCGTTGCGGCCAGGGGAGGGACCTCCGGACCGGGGAGGCCTCTGGGAGTCGCAGTCCCGGCTCGGCCTGCAGCGGCCTCGGGGAAAGGGAAGTCGAAGGGTGAGAACTACATCTCCCAGGAGGTTCCGCGGCTCGCCTCGGGCGGGGTGGGGACGGAGCGGGAGGCGTGGCTAAGGCTTCGGCGCCTCCAAATGCCTGCGAGCGCCGCCGACCGTGGGGCACCTGCCGAAGGTCTCCAAGCTCTTCCAGCGCCTCCGACTGCTTCCAACGGGCACCAGCGCCTCCCTGCGCTGGGCGCCGCTCGAAACCCCGGCCGCGGGCCCGCGGAGCTCCCGCTCACACATTCCGAAATCCCTCGGGTATCCCCAACGCGGGCTCCAGGCCGTCCAGGAACGGCTCGCGGGCCGGCGCGTGGCGCTGAGCGAGACTGGCCGGATCCCCGCGGTCGGGGCGCTCGCAAAGACCCGAGCCTGGAGCAAAGCTGCGGGCGGGAGGGAGGAGGCGGGCTGCGGGAGTGTGGGATGCTGCGGGACGCAGAGGGGCCTGCGGGAGGGAGGGAGTCCGGGAGGCAGCAGGGCTGAGTCAGGCAGGGCCTTGAAGGCCGTGGCCAGGCGCTCCGCGGAAGCGGGGAGGCGCGTTAGGCCTGCTGCGCAGGTCCAGGTTAAAGATGAGGTGCGGGTGCCTGGACTGGGTTGGTGGGAAAGATGACAGGTGGAGATAGGATTTTAGGAGTACAGCTCGAGGACTTGCATGAGTCGAAGTGGGATGACAGGAAAAGAAGGAAATCGAGGTTGACCTGTAGATGTTTTTGCCCGATGAATGGGGTGCCGTGAAGTGGCAACGACTGGGGCCGTGACAGTGCGGTTGGGGGTGAGACGCAGTTGTGCTTTTTCTCTGGTTTGTGATGTCCATGTGACATCTCAGTGGAGACATTGAGTAGACAAGAGGATATAGGGGAGCCAACAGGGATGGAGATGGGCTTTGGATCAAGGGCACACGAATGGAACAAACCAAGTGGACCAGATGCGGTTACTGGGTGGTGTGGTAGGGAAGGGCTGAGCACAGAGCCTTGGACGCGCATGCTCCCGTCCGGAGGTCGGCAGGAGAGGAGCATCGAGCCAAGGAGACTGAGGATGGCCAGTGAGGCTGGACAGCCCGGGAATGGAGAAAAGAGAGCGTTTCCCAAGGAAGGGAGTGATAACCCATGAGGAGTGCTTCCCTGGAAGGTTGAGAAGTTCATACTTAGAGACAAAACTGCTGGATTTGGAAACATGGACGTCACAGGTCATGGAGACCTTGACAAGGGCAGTTTCAATGCAGGGGTGGGAACAATACCCTGATGGAGAGGAAGGAAGGGGAACAAGAGGTGCAGAAGCGGAGACAGCCAGTGTAGATGATGCTTTCAAGGAATTTTGTTTTAGAATAGAGAAATGAGGCAGAGGCTACCAGGGTACGCCGGGTCCAGGGAGGTTTATCTCCCTTTTTTCCAGGCAGAGATCTTACAGCTTGTTTGTAGGTCGAGGAGAATGATCCAGGAGAGATCGATGAGGTGGTAGAGAGAGCAGGGTCACTGAGCAGGTCAGAGGGGACAACCCAATGCCTGTGTGGAAGGCTGGCACCACGTTGCGTCACGATGGAAGACAGAATGTCTGGGCAGAGGCACAGGTGGCTGTGGTCAGCAGAATAATGGCCCCCCCAAAGATGTCCATATCCTCATTCCTAGAACCTGTGAATATGTCACCTTCCATGGTTAAAGAAGCTTTGCAAATCTGATAAGGACCTTGAGATGTGGAGACTATCCTGGTGGGCTCAGTGTGATCACAAGTGTCCTTATAAATGGAAGAGGGAGGCAGAAGAGGAGAGTGAGAAAGAGATGTGACTATGGAAGGGTCAGATAGATGCACTTTGCTGGCTTTGAAGATGGAGGAAGGAGGCCACCAGCCAAGGAAGGAGGTTGTTGGCAGCCTCTGAAGCTGGAAAAGGAAAGGAAATGGATTTACCCTGAAGCATCCAGAAAGGAATGCAGCCCTGCCTTGATTTTAGCCTAGTGAGTCTATGTCAGACTGCTAACCTACAGAGCTGCAAGATAATAAATTTGTGTTGGTTTAAGCCACCAAGTTTGTGGCAATTTATGGCAGCCAGAGAAGACTAATACAGTGGGCTAGGGATTTGAAGTGGGAAGGAGGCAATGCTCGGAATAATGGCAAGGCTGTCAAATCCCTAGAGTGAGGCCTGCGAGGGAGCCCAGGGGTTTCCGAGAGAGGAGGTGGTGTGAGAGTTGTCTAGCAGAGTGGGAACCCAGCTTCCCAAGAAATGCAGGCAGGAAGTTGGTGCTCCCAGGCTGCGCCAGGCAAAGAGGCCAAGAGCAGCTCTCACCCTGCGGAGGCTGATAGGAGGCTGGTAGTGGCCGCTGCTCTGGGAGCCGTTTACATTTCTAAGAGGCTGCTCTTGAGGGGTTACGGAGAAGCTGACTTGTAGGTGAGTCGGGGCACAGGGCCAGAGTTCTGGTTAGAGGCTTCTGACCTTGGGAGGGTCCTGGTCCCAGCGACACCTTTCCCCTCAGGTCAGCCTCCTCTACCTTGCATCCCGAGTCTTGGGCTCCCTGGGCTCCCTTCCAGGGCCTCTGGGAAGATGTGACAAGTGTGGGTATGAGAGGAAAGAATTGTTCCTTTAAAACAGTCCCTGGCTTGATGCAAATGGCATCAACAGCTCATCACAGTGGCCTTTGGGATCCACAGGGGACAGAGGTCTCACAGATGGATCTGCACTCTGTGTCCCTCTGGACATATCCTACATCAGTCTGTCTAAGGCAATTAAAATAATCCCAGGAATGGGATTATTAATAATCCCATCCCTCTTGAGCCCTCTGTATGGACCTGCCTCCCCGCGCCCCCAACCACTCATCCCCACTCGCTAAAACTAAGCTGCATCTGGTTATAGCCTGGTGGCTGACGTCTAAGACTGAGTCACAGGGGCGCCAGTGTGAAACGCCCCTGGTGGCCAGGATGTGCTGGGGGGCTTTTGTAAAAGGGCTGTGGGGAAAGTGGTTCTTGAAGCAAAGGCACACAGCCAGAGAGGAGACCCAGGTGTCAATCCTTAGTTGTCACACCTCAGCCCCGGCCCCAGCACTGCCAACCCAAAGTGAGAACATAACACGCTGCTTTGGGGTCCTGGAGCCCGAGATGGGGGCACGGAGCTATCTGTGGCAGTGACTGCTGTCAGCTGACACCTGCTTTCTGCAGGTCCTGACCCAGCCCAAGAGGGCAGTCTCCCTACACCCCAGCTGCCCATCCCATCACCCTCCTTCCAAGGTCTCTGACCTCCTGGGCCCAGTCTGACCTCCAGTCCGAGCTGCCTGGAGCCATGGCACTTTCAATTTAAGCCATGAACTGGGTGGGTCTCCTTGAAGTCACTGGCACTCAGAGAAGCTCCCTCTTCCGTTAAGAAAAGTGACAATCTAACAAATGGACCAACTTCTGTATCATGCTCATGGATCCTAAAACAGGTCTTTGAAAGAAACTTCAAAACCACATGGCTAGCAATTAGGCATCAGTTTTATTTCTGGAAGCTCATGAACCAGGGACAGGCTGTTTCCGTATGGCTTAGTTACTCGGAAGACAAACCCTGTGCCAATGGTATCCATCTCCAGGATGCACACAACTCCCAGGGAGAGCAGGCCAGGCCTGAGGACCTGCTGGGGAAACCCATCTGGAGCTGCCTGGCAATGGGGAGGCGGGAGCACTGTCCACCGTGAGATGTGCCAAGGGGTGTCCCGTCTCCACCGCCATTACATCACTCACTTTGCTGACAAAGGGTGAGAGGTTTTAACAACCTTCACCAGCATGAGATACAGGAAAAAGTGCTTTAGTATTTACACATTTCATACATCAATGACACCACATCATTCTGTAATACTTCAGAAGGGTAACTAACTCTCCAAAATCCTTTATTTAATAGAATTGGAACATTTGTTGGCAACCTAATACACAAACTCAAGTGTGCTAAATGTAAGACATACAGAGAGCCTTACAGACAGGCTTCCTGCTCCTCGGCAGCTGTGGGCACCTGCCTCCCCGCTGTGTCCTGGATGAAGTGGCAAGTTCAAGCTTCTGCTCAGGCCAGGGCTGCCAGGGCCTGAGGTCTCCCTCTGCCTGGACGCTAGTGCCCAGCACTGAGGAGAGGCTCAGCACCACTCTGGTCACCTCTGCCCCCAGACCCACTGTGCCTGGGACAGTGGCTGGGACAGGTGAACTCGGAGAGCCCTGGTAGCTCTGCAAGATTTTTCCTCCTGCCTGTGGCTCTCTCCCTCCACCCAACCCGGGACTGTGGGGCCACAAAGTTACTTCCTCAAGAAACGGGCCTAGGGGCCTGACAGGGCTGGTCCTCCCAGACTGCCCTGTAAGCCGTAGGCTGGAGGAGGGGGGCAGGCAGACCTGGGAGACATCGAGGACCCTGTCCCATCACATCAGGACCCCAGGGAGGAGGGAGTAGAGAGTGAGAAGGCTGGGCCCACCCCCGCAGGCTGGTCACCACGGCCTCCAGATGCTCTGGGATATGCGGGCAGCAGTCAGGCTGCCCAGGGCCGGGAGCACCGAGTCCGGCCCCTCAACAGGCGCCCGACTCAGTTCAGCCTCAGGGGCCTCCTCCAGATCGGAGCACAGGTCGTCCCCGGGGCCCGGAGGGCTGGGCAGCGGCGACCCCAGAGCCCCTCCCGTGGGCCAGCCGCTCCGCCCAGGGGCTCCGGGCGGCCCGGCCAGGGCGTCCCCCAGCAGATCCCGGAAGCTGCTGCCCTCGCGCAGCGGCATGGACTCAAGTAGGTGGTTCAGGAGCTCGGCGGCCACGGTGGCGTCGATGGCCTGACATGTGGACACGAACGTGTGCACCTCGTGCATGCACTGGATGTAGCCGGCGGCGAAGCGCTCGCTCGCTTCCGCCTGCAGCTGGTCGCGCTCTGCGCCGGGGGGTGGGAGGGAGAGAGCCGAGCCAGCCCGGTGAGGGGCGACTGCGGTGGCCGGCCCGCCCGGCCTGCGAGGACAGGGCTCACCCAGGAGACGCGGGCGTGCACCCTGCGCCGGGGGAAGCCCTCGCCGCCGACAGCACAGGAGCGCTGGGCGGGGAAGTCCTCGGTCCGGGCAGGGACGGGCTGGGCAAAGGGGCCCCGCGCCCGGGG